ATCTTGAACCAAACATTGCACACGCAGCTAACCATTCAATAAAACATACCAGTTTTCTCATCAGGGACATTAGGACCAAGAGTAGGTAAATATCAATAACATATACTACGCCTGCAAAAAAAACATCCTTGTAACACTTGCATCTGTTGCTAGTCAGGTAAACGTTTACGAAAATCGCAAGCGTTTCGCACTTCACCTCTTATCCCTCCTTCGCAGAGGTGACGCGCCGGGGCACCACGCCACATGTTTCTGTACCAGCGAATGTCACACAGAGTGTGGCCGTGCTCGTGCCACCAGCGCCCCCGGCTGGAGCAGCTTGTACTGCTCCACCACCTGACAAACAGGGTCGGCAGACCCACGTGTCTGCTGAAACTCGGACCACTGCAAGTGCAGTTAGGTCCGAAAGTTCCGTGACCATGCCTGCCGAGCAGGCACCATGCGCCACCTCACAAGAGGTGATGGATACAAGTCCCACTCCTTCGGCGCTTGAGACGCCGAAGGAGAGACGCAGCTCTTTGGAGCGCACAAAAAAAAAAAGACTACGCATTACAGGACCTCATAAAAACCTTGTACTCTAAGGCAACACTTTTTGTACACACAGCACTACACAGCCTAAAAATGACACAAATATTACAGTGGAACATCAGAGGACTGCAAAAACCTCGACGATATTCAAGAACTTTGACACAAAGGTACACCATAAGTGCTGTGTGTACAAAAGATACACTTGAAACCGAAACACACAAACTTTCTACGCCATTACGTTACGTTTCGAAAAGATCGGAACGATGCAGTCGCGTCATCTGGTGGTATTGCCATTGTTGTGGATCCAGGAACTGCCTGTACACATTCACCACTTCAGACATCTCTTCAGGCAGTAGCCATCCGAGTCGTTATCTTGAACAAAGTGGTCACAATTCACTCTATTTATATACCTCCTCAACACCAACATGGTAAACAATAATTCCAAACAATAATTGATGAACTTCCAGAACCGAATCTTATTCTCGGAGATTTTAACGCACATAGCAGTCTGTGGAGTGACTCGCGCTGCGATGCACGTGGTTGTCTGATTGAACAGTTCCTTTTCTCTTCTGGCGCATGCCTGCGCAATAGGAAAGAGGCAACATATTAGAGCCTCGCTAACAATACCTACTCTTCAATCGACCTAAGCATTGTATCTTCATCGCTCCTTCCCCTACTCCCCTGGAATGTCATCAATAATCTTTTTGGAAGTGACCAGTATCCTGTAGTTCTGAGCAGTACAAAATGAATGCCCTCCACAGGTTCCCAAATGACTCATAGAAAAAGCCGATTGGGACCAGCTTTACAAGACTGCTAGCTTAAGTTGGACATACATAAGCGGATGTAGCTTAGATGCAGCTGTAGAATACTTTACTGTTTTTCTTATTTAAGCTGCAGCTAATTGCATTTCGCAAACATCTGGACTGGCCGGAAAACGATGCGTCTACTGATGGAACAGTGAGTGCCGCAATGCTCGAAAACAACAACACAGGGCATGAAGGCTGCTTCGAGACTCACCAACCGCTTAAAATCTTGTCAATTTTAAAAACATCAAGTCCCAAGGCAGGATAACGCGTCGATAGGCCAGGGGGGAGAGCTTTAAAATGTTTTTATTTGGAATTGACTCATATACACTTGAAGCAAGAGTCTGGAGCATAGTCGGTAGGGTAGTAGGGCGAGAACCACATCCTCTTCCTCTAGTAAGCACACAAGTCAATGGTTTGGAAGACCAAGCGAGCTCCCAAGGTGCACTCTTCGAACAGATCTCCAGCTCATCCCATTACAGTGCACCGTTCCAAAGGTACAAAACAAGAATAAAAAAACAGAAAAGTGAACGCAAATTCTCAAGCAACAAGCCATACAATGAACCTTTCGCCTAACCTGAGTTACAAGCATCGTTGAACTGGTGTAACAGAACCACCCCAGGCGCCGACCGTATGTTATACGAACTGATGCTCAAACGTCTACCTCCTGAAACCCAAAAAGCTTTCCTTTCTTTGTATAATACCATTTGGTTTTCCGGCGAAATACCTTCCATCGGGAAAGAAGCAGTCACTATTCTTATTCTTAAACAGGGCAAGGACCCATTTTCAGCATTAAGTTACAGGCCCAAAGCATTGACGAGTTACATTTGCAAGGTCTTTGAGAAAATGGTAAACAGCGCCTGATGCACTTCCTTTAAACTAACGGCCTACCTCACCCATGTCAGTGTGGGTTTCGAGAGGCTCGGTCCACCACTCACTACCTTGTCCGTATCGAGGCACAAATTCGCGACGCTTTTGTTCATAAGCAATATTTTCTTTCTGTGTTCCTCAATATGAAGAAGGCCTATGACACTACGTGGCGCTTTGGCATACTCCGAGACCTGTCACATTTAGATGTGCGGGGCAGAATGTTCGCAGTAATCAGTCGAAAGCTACCTGTCTAACCGGACATTCCGTGTCCCAATTGGCACTGTCTTATCTTGAATACTTGTTCAAGAAACAGGAGTGCCACAAGGAGGTGTTTTGGGTTGCACACATTTATTAGTAAAAATGAATTTGTTGCACCTGTCTCTCCCACGCAATATTTTTTACTGCACATATGTCGATGATGTACAGATCGGCTTCAAATCGTGCAACCTTTCAATATGCGAAGCGAACGTCAGGTTCAACTATGTTTGAACAAGGTTTCCTATTCGGCAGATGAGAACGGCTTTAAACTCAAAGCGCAAAAGAACACATGCGTCTTGTTCTGCCAAAGGAGGGGCCTCCATCCCGACCCTTGCATTAACTTGCATGGTCAACTGTCTGTCAAGATAGAGAATTAGTTCCTGGACCTAATATTAGACACAAAGCTAACCTTCATTACCCCTCCCCCCCCACCGTCATGTATTTAAAAGACAGGTGCTTAAAAACCGTTATATTTTGAAAGTGTTGTCACGCACTACGTGGGGCAGTGACAGGAAATGTCTGATGAATTTGTATAAAAGCCTCGTACGCACGCTCCTAGATTACGGTGCCATAATCTATCAGTCTGTGACACCATCAGCCTTAAATATTCTCGACCCTCTCCACCATCTAGGCATTCGCCTCTCTACGGGTGCTTTTCGAACTAGCCCCGTAGAGATCTCTCTACGTAGAATTAAATCGATGGTCGCTCCATCCGCAGAGATGTTACATGTCTTTTACATACTATCTCAAGGTTAACGCACACGAGGAACATCCAACTCACTCCACAATTAATGGCCTGTCGAATTCTATCTTGTTCAATAACCGTCCTTCGCTGAGACAGCCCTACTCACTTTGTGTCAGGAGGCTCGCTGAGGAACCAGCTGTGCCACTTGTAGAACACCGTTTGGTGGCTCTATCCGCCACCGTGGAAGTGGCAAGTTATAGACTGCGATCTATCTTTTGTGGAAGTCACTAAACACACACCTACTGCATATATTCGCACGCACTTCCTCGAACTCCAACACAAGTACACTTGCCCAGACAGATGCTTCAAAGTCTCACACTGGTGTGTCATATGCAGCTGTTTGCCCATCCTTCTTTAACTTCGATATTCTGCACTCCGAAACAAGCATATTCACCACATATACACAGATTCACTGAGCGTAATAACGGCTTTGAAAACTCTGCGAAAACATGAAAATCCTGTCCTTGTGTCACTGTACTTTCCGTTATACAAGATCTATGCTCTCAAACGACATATTGTGTGCTGGGTGCCAGGGCACCACGAGATCGCTGGAAACGTGTTGGCGGATCGGTTAGCCGTCTCTGCTCAAGACGACGCTGCCGCCAATACATCGGCAGCTGGCCCTGCACTTGACCTGAAAGCTTTCCTACGACGGGAACTCAGGGCGTGCAGGAAGCGCCTATGGGATAGGCAGACAGACAACAAACTGCATGTTGTCAAACCAAGAATTGGAAATTGTCCAACGGCATCCAGATCACGCTGCACGCAAGTCACACTTACAATACTACAGATAGGACACACACACTCGACACATTCATACCTTTTGTCTGGTGGTGATGCACCATTGGGTGCATCACCACTCACGATTTTGCACATCCTCGTACAGTGCAGTGATTTAGATGCCCTCAGAAAAAGAAGCACTTTTTACTGCCCTACCAACCACATTAACCCTTGCACCCATCAATGTTCATCGGTAGAGAACTCAGTTTCACACATAAATCTTTGCTGGCATTTTTAACAGACGTACGTACTTTTAACAACATATACCCAGGCGCTCCATAGCACGACCTCTGAAGACAGGTCACTGCCACAGTGGCTACATCTCCATCATTGTTTTACTATATCACGACGTTTCGCAATTCACTCTCACTGCACATTATTCACGTCAATTACATAGTTTTAAGGCTTCTATGTTTTTACTCGCGTTAGCGCGAAGAATTTTAAGGCCCTTCCTTTTACAGCCACCTATTACAATCAATGCTCGCATCACTTGTCCATGGACTTGGTGCTGTTTGGTCATCAAGTGGCCCTTGCACCACAAACACATCATCATCATCATCATCATCATCATCATCATCATCATCATCATCATCATCATCATCATCATCATCATCACCACCACCACCACCACCACCAGCATCATCATCATCATCATTATCATCATCCCATCACCGCATTTAGTTTTTGCTTTATAGTTCAGAGAACGGGACCTCAATATTTAGTTGTTTCTCAGTTGTTCTTGAGTGATATTTAACATGCATGATCAAGTCCCACATCACCACTGATAATAAATAACGATGAATTATTAACGAAGACGACGACAAGTATTTGGTTAGAGGCTGCAGTGGCTACTGCTACTGCGTATTTCATTTTGTTCGTGGATATACGCATACGTAAATGTTAGCCTTTACTATGACAGTAGCTTTGTTTATTAGCTTGACGAGCTCTAACCTTTCAATCAAAGGGCGCCAAATAAAAGCGCAAGAGCCTCCACACGTACATGGTTTGTTGCTATCGTAAAGACAGCATCAAAGTGTGCTTGCAAGAATTGGGACTACATATCATGAGAGAGCAGTGACGTAAGCTGAAATAATTTAACTTCTCCTGCATGGGTTCAATCCAAAGTTTTGAGTTTTCTTTTCTTTTATGCATTTCAGTGACGCCTCAAGGCACTTGGGTAGCACGGGCTAGTGAACTGCCCCCGTTCGTTCACCGTGTTCATCGTCGATGATACTTCATCAGCAAGACAGTACATGATATCTGGGTCCCGACGATGCGGTGCTTCTTGGTTACTGCGGTTGTTTTATTTTTGGGCTCTGATTTACGCTACAGTGCTCAGGCTAATGACACTAAAGAAAATGCAAATTTGCAATTGACGATTCTGCACACCAACGACATCCACTCGCATATAGTCCCGAGCTCTAAACATGGTGGTCTATGCACCACTAATAAGAGTGAGTGCTATGGAGGGGTCGCCAGAATTACGCATAAGGTAAGTGTTTCAAAGCAGGGATTTGTTCCCGGATTTATGAAAATGTACCCAGTACGCACATGTACCTGAGGCCCGTAACAGCCTTTCTACAACCTGGGAAATTACTTCATATTCAGTTTTTTTCTTAATTGCGATCGTAATCGAACAGGAATTCGAGGTACAATTTTGCCATTGCCGTTATGTTCCGTACAAAGACCAAATGTATAACGTCGTTTAGCGCAAAGACACTCACAAACAGACAAGGAGCACAGATTAGCGCCAGTCCCGTGCTCATTTCGCTACATGATTTTATTTCTCCTTCAGAAGTAATGAACCAAATAGTTCAAGAAAATGTTTTGCTGTGATAACACTCCTCGTCTCGTGTCGTGTGTTCTAATATATATATATATATATATATATATATATATATATATATATATGTGTGTGTGTGTGTGTGTGTGTGTGTGTGTGTGTGTGTGTGTGTGTGTGTGTGTGTGTGTGTACCTAAGGGCTAGTTTTTCCGTGTTTTGACACAATATAACGGATGATTCCACGAGAGATCGACACGGGTCCAAAAGTTGATACTTTAGATTTCATTGAGTATTTTATATTTCGTGCACCCCTCACCAGGTATCCCGAAAGTCAACTTCGTTTTATGATCAACGGCATAACTTACGAGAAAAAAAAAATATCAAACTTCACCAACACGAAGGCACCAATTTCGTCACTTGTCATTTTCGAAAATAGCAGATGCTATAAAAAGACAAATATTTTTGTTTCAAGGAAGATATTTTTTACCTGAAATGCATGTCTAATGAAGAACGAATTCACACGGTTTCAAGTTTGTAGACCTTAAGAAAACAGCTTTTAAAAATGTTTAATTTTGCGACAATTTAAAATAAGTTACGTATTCCCCATTTTTTTCTCCAAAAGTAATGCAAGCGGCGTTTTAAAACTTCACACGTTTTAAGGATATAGTGTGTTCATTAGGTACATAGATTATTGCTGCCATAGGGCAAATGTAAATTTTTATATATTGCCTCAAGGTTCTCATAATGGCGAAAGTGTACTCCACTGAAATTTGAATAATAAAAAAACCCCATCTTCGATTTTTCTTCAAATCTCGTAAATAGACAACCGAAAACCATCATACATGATGATATGTGGGGTTTAACGTCCCAAAACAACCATACGATTATGAGAGACGCCGTAGTGGAGGGCTCCGGAAATTTCGACCACCTGGAGTTCTTTAACGTGCACCCAAATCTGAGCACACGAGCCTACAACATTTCCGCCTCCATCGAAAATGCAGCCGCCGCAGCCGGGATTTAAACCTGCGACCTGCGGGTCAGTAGCCGAGTACCTTAGCCAATAGACCACCGCGGCGGGGCGAGAAACATCATACAGTAATATACAAAAACATGTTGCATTATTTTGTTTTTAGCACAATATTCGTGGTACAAATGAGAGCTTTTCGAGAATGCGCTGATAACTTAGAAGTGTGGCAGCTTGGGCTATTTGGTATGACATGACGATAGTTATAGCCTTCTTGTCTCTGTGTCGTCGCTTTGTTCTCGCGCTATAACTATCGTCATGCGCTGATAAGTTGAGAAATCTAGAAATCGGAACGGAAAAGCGGCAATGAGCTTCAAACGCGAGTAGACGTGACCGCATTTGGTGAAGAAAGGCTGTTTTAGCAGATAGGAGTAACTATATTGAACACGATATTCTACAGTATCCGTGAAATGCCACCGTAACGTGTGTAACCGCCACTTTCAACCATCAGATCTAAAATGCAGTGTGTGTGCCCAGTGGTTCAAGAACTTCAAGCAAGCCTATGAAGCGTGTTCTTCGTATCAAGAGCGCATGCGTTTGTTGACACTGTTGCCGAGCGATATAGAGCGCCGAAAACTCCAAGCGCTTATACCAAACTTGTCAGCTTACATGATATACAGATCCCGACGCTGGCGCGCAAAACACGGGATATGGTTAGCACCAAATGCGGTAAACAGGACACGCTGAACCGAATGGACGTCCAGGCAGCTATGGCTTACTACTCCAAAGATGAGTATAGCTGCTCTCGGCAGAGTCCCAACAAAAAAGATGTAGTATCTGTTATCATTGACGGAAAAAAGGAGCTTGTTTCGAAAAGGTTCATGACCCGTTCGGTGCGAGAGGCTTACCGTCTCTTTAGAGAAGCTAATCCGAACACGTCTCTTGGGCTCTCAAAGTTTTATTCACTGAGGCCGAAGTGGGTTCTTCTTGCAATACACCAAGAAGTGTGCCTTTGTATATACTGTGCTAATGCCACGGAGTGTGTTTCTGCCCTACAAGACGTCACCGATGGTGCCTACACGGCGGACTTCTTGAAAGAACTATGTCTTTGCAGCTCCCCTAAAAGTGAATGTTTTTTAGGCCATTGTGACTATTGTGCTAAGAAGGACGCTCTGATAGCCACATGTTTAGGAATCCCTGAAGATATTGAGGTAGCCTATGCAGTATGGGAAAATGGCGATCTAGTAAAAAAAAAACAGCCTAGGCAAGTGCTTTTCTGCGAGAGCTACGTCTATGGTTCGTGAAGTGGATTACCCATGATTACATTAGATGCATTCAAGAATCAGCAATACGCCAGGTGAAATAGAACAAAGAAAAGGAATCTTGCATTTTTCACTTTGATTTCGCCGAAAATTGGACAGCCATTTTACCGAATGAGGTACTGTCGTATCACTGGCACAAAAGACAGGTGTCTATATTCACGTGTGTCGTCACAAGGAAGCAATCAATTCAAAGTTTTGCCGTCATCCGTGATGACACATGCCATGATGCTGCACATGCCTGTTTTGCTCTACAAATAATCCACAACTATATGAAGGAACAACTTAAGCCTGACACGCATGTTACTTATGTTTCTGATGGTGCATGCAGTCACTTCAAAAACAAGTACCAGTTGTTCGAGTTATGTCAGAAAGATCATATATCAACAAAGTGGATTTTTTCGGCCACAGGACATGGCAAGAACTCTTGTGATGGCGTTCTACTGAAGTATCAGGCTACGCTCTACAACCTCAGAGCGGCAAGCTCAGCTGTGATTATGTCAGCATCCCAATTGGTGGCGCAAATGAGCGCGAAGCTCAAGAATGTCAAGCTGCTGTGCGCAAATGCAGACGAGCTAGAAACATTCCGTCAGTTTAAGAAGAGTGAGTGGAAATCGTTGTCACGTGTTCCAGGCATACGTTCTTGGCATGTTTGGCTAAGCACATCTGAGGGCACTGATCGTGGTCGTGTTTTGTTAGCGTCACGTACTGCTAAATGTGATCTGCAAAAGATGCAGCCATTTTGAGCGCATCTCTTGTTTCACGCAGTCACCACCAAAATACCAGTGAGGATACTTCAAGCGCATATGCTTTTTCTAGCGAGACCCAACACTTGCGTTGGAACATTTTCATGTTTGAGTTTATCACCAAATATAGACAGATGTTTTGCAACTGAGTTACACTGTGGAAGATTTCCCCCATTAGAGCTGTGTTATCAGGAGCATAAATATGCCTTCATGGTTACGTATTTGTCACAGTGCTAAAACAGCCTTTCTTCACCAAATGCCGTCACGTTTACTCGCGTTTGAAGCTCATTGCCGCTTTTCCGTTCCGATTTCTAGATTTCTCAACTTATCAGCGTATTCTCGAAAAGCTCTGATTTGTACCACGAATATTGTCGCTAAAAACAAAATAATGCAACATGTTTTTCTATATTACTGTATGATTGTTTTCGGTCGTCTATTTACGAGATTTTAAGAAAAATCGAAGATGGGGTCTTTTTATTATTCAAATTTCAGTGGAGTACACTTTTGCCAATATTGGAACTTTGAGGCAATACATAAAAATTTACATTTGCCCAGCGGCAGCAACCATTTATGTACCTAATGAACACACTATATTCTTAAAACGTGTTAAGTTTGAAAACGCTGCTTGCATTACTTTCGGAGAAAAAAAAAATGGGGAATACGTAACCTATTTTAAACTGTCGCAAAATTAGACATTTTTAAAAGCTATTTTCTTAAAGTCTACAAACTTGAAACCGGGTGAATTCATTCTTAATTAGACATGAATTTCAGGTAAAAAATATCTTCCTTGAAACAAAAATATTTGTCTTTTAATAGCATCTGAAATTTTCGAAAATGACAGGTGACGAAATTGGTGCCTCCGTGTTGGTGAAGTTTGATTATTTTTATCGTAAGTTATGCCGTTAATCATAAAACGAAGTTGACTTTCGGGTTACCTGGTGCGAGGTGCATGAAATATAAAATACTCAATGAAATCTAAAATATCAACTTTTGGACCTGTGTCGATCTCTCGTGGAATCACCCTATTAATAAGATCTAACAGACAATAATGCCAAGGAATGTATAGGGGAAGTTATTAGAACCAATGTAAAGTAAATAAGAAGAAAGAAAAGTGGGTGAAAAAATACCTTGCCGTGAGCAGGAATAGAACCTATGACCTCCGAGTAACGCATTCAATGATCTAGCGTTGAGATAGCACGGTGGCCATTCCCCCAGCCACTTCATTGAGTTTATGTGAATTTAAACGAGCGAATGTCAGTCAGCGCCACCTGTAGCCATGGAGGCGAGTGTGGTACACTCTTTCTATGAGACTGTATGGCGTCACGTAGCCCGTGAACTTATTACGAGCTGGCAGCTGACCAACGGTCCCTTGTATACAACCTAACGGCACCAAGCCTGCCAGTACGAGACCCTCGTTAATGAATAAGGGAAAGAAGTGTATACCCAAAGGGTTCGTTTTCCCGTGTTTTGACACAATATAATGAGATCTAAGAGACAATTATGCCAAGGAATGTATAGGGGAAGTTATTAGAACCAATGTAAAGTAAATATGGATAGGATAGTTAAAATAGTGGAGGAGTATTGCAGAGATCTGTACAGTAGCCGGGATAACCACGACTTTAATACTATAATAACTAGCAGTAACCCAGATGACGCCCCACCAGTAATGATAGAAGAAGTC